TTTGTCACGTGAACAAGATGTGCCGATAAGTTACTATCTTCTTGGTTCTTTCGGTAAAGTCACGTAGAAGGGAAGTAATAAAATAATAAAAATAAAACACAATAAAATAATTCTCACAATGTTTCGGCTACAACGCAAGCTGCTTGCTTGCGTTGTAAGCTGCTTGCTTGCGTTGTAGCCGAAACGTCGTGAGAATTATTTTATTGTGTTTTATTTTTATTATTTTATTACTTCCCTTCTACGTGACTTTACCGAAAGAACCAAGAAGATGAATCCCTGCAGTCACGAAAGCTTTAAATCGAAAGATAAGTTACTACTTCAGCATCCCCACCACTGGTATTGAAGAGCAAACCCACAAGAACAACATTTGAGTGAACGACGATTCACTGGTGATTACAGCAACAACCAGCATCATCAGGCGATTGTCAGAATTGTGAAGTCTCAGTCATGTGACATAAAGCAAGCAGAACCCCTCCTTGCTTTCCCTTGTCCTATGCTTTTACAGCATTTGTCTCGCTTTATTTGTCAAAAAGAACACCCATCCATCCGCAAGCAGAGAAAAAGTTTGCTTTGGCAGGCCACGTCGCTACAAGGGGATTCAGCCCGGCGGTCGAGACTAACGAGTGAGTGGCAGGCAAAGGAGGAGTGCAAAGTATAGGAAAAGTAAGCAAATCACAAAAATAACTTTTTAATGTTCATTTGACTAGGTAAACCCCACTGAGCTATTAGCTTAATTTTCAACGAAGTGGCTTAAAGGTCGCTTCTGAAAAATAGCTATATTGCTCAGTGGGCCTTACCTGGTAAAATAAAAATAGATTTTAGTTTAACTGACCATTGATACTGGTAGGAACCCACTGGTTATAAAACTCAACGTTTAACCTACTCACGCCGGCTTGTGCCCGCCCTCACAGTCGGGCATATTTGCGGAATACACCACGCCGCCGTTGACCCTGGCCATTGACCGAGCAACCCAACGTTCCTACCAGCTCCCTCCGCAGGACAATGTGTTACGTTCCTTTCGATATTAGGAAGCCACTGGAGCTTAGTACTTTTAAATCAAGATTGAAAACGAATTTCTCTCGATTAGCACGGTAGGCTACGTGCGGTGTGAAAGAAGTTCAACAAACATACATTTCACTACCACATGCTGTATTTACACATGAAAGCACTGTTTATGCATTCTGTACATTCCAAGATACGATGCGATTGCCTGGGAGAGCTCACAGCCAGCCACTGGGCACCATGAGTACGTACGCAAAAATCTGTCAAAACTTGACCCCTCCCTGTACGCACGCGCACTTTTTACCCCCCCCCCCTACCTGCGTACGTACGTTTGAATCCTCTAGAACGGCCGATATTTAATCCACGCAGAGATGATGAAGGATTAATAATATTAACGTGTTTAAGCAAACAGATAGTCCACTGCCGGACTATCTAACTCATTTGAAGGCCAATGTAGACAAATTACACTGGTCAACACACTTTTTCTGGCATAAGGTATTCCAACGGTTTTAAGGTAATTTTGGGGTGCTGATTTCAAATCTGGCATCAGGTTTTTGAGATATCAAATATTGCATTTTCAATAAAAACCGCAGAAGAAAAATATTAAATAAATATGGATATCTACATAAAATGATATTATAAACACACTATCCTAAAAATACAGCACCGTATTTTAACACTAAAGCAGTCGCTGACTCGCAACAACTTTCAATCATAAGTGACAGTTAATTTCGGGTAAAATCAATGAAAATGGGGTATGCCGATAGCATAAAAATGAGATGTGATAGAGCAAATCTGAGATCAGTTTTGGAATCAGCACCCTGAAATTAGTCTAAGTCCAGGCCAGAATTTTTTTTTTTGACCAGTGTTATTATTGAGGCTTTACACCCCCCCCCCACACCCGTTTCCTATGCGTACGTACATTGTCAGTAGACCCCATACGCAAGCGTACACATTTGGGTTAACCCCCCCCCCCATGCGTAAATACTAAATGGATGGCCCCTTAGTGCACACACAGCGCTCACCCATCCCAAACGCTAGCCAGGCTCGGACCTGCTTAGCTTCCGAGATCTGACGACGCGGGGTGCGCCTTCCAGCTGGTTTGGTCAGTTGGCACGGGATGATTGTGGGTCGTTCATGCAGGGTGTTCCCGTGGTTATCATCCATTTTTAAATGAATGTCATTTCGATGGATCTTTGAGCTCGGGTTGACACGACCATGTAGAATGAAGATATTTTATCGCACGAGTGCCATTGGTGTGACGGGCACGTTCGCGGATTCTCTCGGGCCATCGTTAGCCGGGCTGCCAGTCACAGATCTCATCAGAATGTGGTGGGGGTGGTGTTTTGGTCCCCCCCGCCACCACCCCCCCCCGCATTTTGTGTCCGCACATAGCACGACAGAGAAATCTCTACGGAGTGCATGATTAAAATGATGGTGCAGTTTATTCCTGGTTAGGCCTGGAGAGTCTCGGCGGCTTCCCTGTCACCATGTAAACCTGTACGTGCGTGTGGTACGTACGTACGACTGTGCATGCGGTACGTACACACAAAGCTGCCACTTCCCGACATTGTGACACTTTGGATTAAGCTTCGCAAAAAATTGCCGTAAAAAAACTAAAATATCGTCATCTTCCGTCGCCGCGCGCGTTCCCCATCGTAAAGCCAGCGACGCAACCGGTGGCTCAAACGTTGAACTCTTCCTCGGATTATCTTCGTCCTCGCCGACTCACCGCGGTGAATCGACGCGTGTGATGTAACCGTCGCGCGTGGAGCGCGCCCAATCCGCGTACAGTGCACCGACAAAACCACCACCGCGCAAGTCGGTCGTCGGCTTTTGTGGAGCTGGAGCCCCCCCCCCCCCCCCACCACGCCTGCCCCCCCCCACGCCTGCCCCCCCCGCCCCCCAGGCTCACTCGCTCGCTCGGTTGTTTGCGGTCGAAAAAATCTCGACTGCATTTTCCGGAAATCCCAGATTTGTTTGACCGACGTGATTCCGTCAGCTGCAGAATGATTTACGTACACATCGTGATGGACGGCGTTTGGGAATACGATGCCAGTTTTATAGAAACGAATGCGTGTGTGTTTATACATCGATATAGTTTACTAAAGTTAGGAAGGAGGATAATACACGCTTTCCAACGAAACGCGTTTGCATACTCCCCAACGGTAAGCTCGAGTGGATCAAAACGCGTTTTGAATGTCCGCAAATCGTCCTTCGTGCTCTCGTTTGTGTCTCTCCCAAGCGTCGGGCTGCAGCGCTTCGCTCAAACGTGGCCGCTTTTCTCCAGGGGCGAGTCCCTCGCAGCGACGCAGCGCCGCTCTAAAGTTTCGCTCGTATTGGATCGTGTGGTTTACGAGCGTTGGAGTGACCTCCCCCCCCCCCCCTCCAGAGTTAACGCATAAAACCCTTTGGGTCAGTGCGTGTCCAGTTTTCTTTCTAGGGCGAGGAGTCCCCCGAATAGCAACGCAACTTTTTACTGCGGCTTCGCTGATATTGGACGCAATCTTCACCGTGCGTTACAGTGCCGCCCCCCTGTCCCGTTCCCCCCCCCCCTCCTTCCCTCTACCACCATCCACCACCCCCCATTCAACCTTACAGGCGGACTGACAGAGATAACAAATAAATGCCTTAAGTTAGAAAGTGTAACAAAAAAAAACACGCAAACGCACTGAAGGTCCATAAAAGCTGAGAGCTCACGCTGTGAGCATATACGTAAATTATAAGGGCACCGCTGTGCAAAAATAATCCGTGCCCTGCAACTTTGGTCGGGGGAATTTGGTCCAAGCCTTGTCACACTGTACTGCTCTCGTTTTCTGACATCGGTCTCTTGAGCAAAGGGTGGGGGGGGGGGGGGGTTCTTGTATATTCATTGTATGACTTAGCGGGATGATGCCCTGCAGCCCGACCTGGGCCCCAAACCATCTTGGGGACACAAGCACACGGGGCCCCCGAAGGCTGGTGGCGTTAAAGGGCACGCGACACAGACGCTCGACCCTGAGGGTGCTGGTCGCACTGGCCAGACGCGCGCACGGACTCCTCGTGTCAACGTGCGGGAAGACACAAACACCAGAATAGAAGCTCACGGTATTCATCTTCTTGGTTCTTTCGGTAAAGTCACTTAGAATGGAAATAATAAAATAATAAAAATTAAACATGATAAAATAATTCTCACGACGTTTCGGCCACCGAAAGAACCAAGAAGATGAATCCCTGCAGTCACGAAAGCTTTAAATCGAAATTTAAGCTCACGGTAGTTTGAACACTCATCCGTCGAAGCGACGGGGAGCCTCCAGGATCCTGGGTAATTTAATATAATGGCTACACTTACCCCACAGTGCCTTGCACAAACTCGCAGTTAATTAAAACGTTTCTCAATTTGCATGTGAATGCAACAATCTTCTGTGTCGCGTCTCCTGTCCAACCTATGTTTTTTTCACAATATTCTGCACAGTTCACTGTTTCTGTTGTTGGCATTGCCGGATCTTGACGTAGTGCCATTGTGCTTCTGCAGGGCATCTCAAAAGATGGTCCATGTGGTTTGCTTCTCCTAACAAGTTCATGGGGCTTCTACACAACCGACCAATGAATTCACGAGATAATAAAAATAATTATACATTTCATTGCAGCCTACGTCTCTTCATTGATTATACGAGACACTTTGATAGGTCTCCTTAATTGCAAGTATTCAATTCGAACAATGACATTAAACACATGCGAATCGAAAGACACAGTGCAATTGTGTGGGAACGTGAGGTGCCAGAGCAAAATTAGTGTACAGGTGGGAGTAAGCTGTGCATTTTGTTCTAACAGGGTAAGTAACTAAAGAGTGTATTGAACAGTGGGAGTGAAGGGGAAGGAACCATCGTCCAGGTTCATGGTTTTAGAATTTTGCAGATGCGACTCTCCATTCGGCGAGCGGGGGCTGCGATGGCGTAACCGTTTTAGCGCGTCGGGGTCTTTGAGCAGCGCTCCAGCATGTGCTTTGTCCGCCGCAGGTTTTCCCGGGAGGAGTGGTGAGGAGCTGCCCGCCAGCGATCCCCGTCACGATGATGCGACTGAAGCTCAAGCGGCCGGGTCACGACCCCCATCGTGAGAAGTTGAAGCAGGAACTCTTTGCCTTCAACAAGGTAACGACGGCGTGGCCGTGGGCCCCCCCCCACCGCCGCCGCCCGCGATTCGGTCGTCGCCGTGAACTCTGGGTCGTGCCCCCCATCGCGCCGAATTAAAATTTTTGCGGGTTTTCTGTTCCCCCCCTGGCGTATTGTACCGTTCTCGCATTTTGTCGCAATCGACAAAAAAAATACCTGTCGTGCCCTCTGCTGACCACCACTACCACCACGTAGCAGTTTTCCCTCGCAGCCCGCCTACCACAACCTGGCATGCACGGTGGCCATCTGCCGGAGCAATCCGGTAACCTTATCAACCGTCCGTGTTGCGGATTAACCGCGCTCGCGAATAAAAAGGAATATCACGATTAGGTTTTGTTCATGGTAGGAAGCGCCCATCTCATCTCGTCCCGAACATTTCGAAGGACAGCCGCCGCCCGTTCGTCGGCTGTCCCTGTGCGCCACAAGGTGACAAAGCACCGGCCTAGTAGTGGAGGGGGGGTGGGGGCGCTGGTTGGCGGTGGTTGACGTGGCTGTGTCTGTAATCCTAATTGAGTAACGTGCCTCTCTGGGGTGTGACACCTTGGTGTAAGGACGGTGCCACCTCTACGTGTGTGTCGAGGGGGGGGAGGGAAATGGGGCCGGTAACGGTTTTACGTTGACGGTTCAATGGCTGCCGCCGCGTAAGTGAACGCAGTCGTCCGTGAAGGTGTCTGTGATGGAGGGAGCTGCCCCTCCGTGTGACGACATAGCGCGCTGGCGCTACGAGCCCGGCTACCTGAGTTCGATTTCTGCTCACGGCCAACATTGGTGACGAATATCTGAGCCGTTTCTAGGGCCTCCCCTAGGTCGACTCGACCTCAAATGAGTACCTGGTGCGGTATGTAAACATCGCCACGAGCGAGAAAAAGGTGGCCGGGCGTGATGCTGGCCACCCACCTCCTTGTGTGCTGTGTCAAACTCCATGGGTGATCCCTAACAGCACTTTCCCCAACGGTTAAGGCTATACGGGGATCTTTGTTTTTGCCCTCCATATATTGCGAGCCTCCGGATCAACTGTTGCAAAGCGCCGTTGCACCGCCGGGCGGTGATGCGTCCTCGCCGGTAGCGCGTCTGCCGCTCGCTGTAGAGGCTAGCGGTTCGGGTCCAGCGGCCGCCCTGGTTATTACCGCGCGTGTGTGCAGTAGCCATCAAAAGGCCGCGTACCGTCTGCTTCACGGTGAAAGTTTAAAGAGTCCCGTGACGTCGTCTACTTGTGGTTGAAGTACGTCGTGCGTGCCGTTCAACTTTTGGCGTTCCCTGGTCTTACACCGGTGAAACTAGGCCATAATGAAGGCTGTCTCTGGTGCAGGCCTATGAGTTTCAAAGACAATGCATATATTATGAGAGCATGTTTCTTTGTATGTATGTTCACCACAAGTACGTGTGGTCAATGCAGACTTGATTCCTTTCAAAAGGTTTCTGTTTGGTGTAGGAAAATCTTAACACCTCCCGTTTTACTGCCAGAAAGGGTAAAACATTCTCATTTGTCCTCAAAATACTGGGCTTAATCGCGGATCAATCATTTGAAGATGATGCTGCGTTGGCAGTGGCGCGTAATTAACAAATTAAATCGATGCGCTCGTCAATAACACCGGTTTAAGAAAAAACGAATTCCACAGTGGGCAACGTTTTGGGGCAACGTGTCCCATCTTCACAGCACGCAGAGGCCGAAGAGGTGCGGTGTTCATCGTGCTCGTGCGCCGCTGCCAACGCAGTCTCACGAAAACAAAAGAAACCAAAGAAACACACCACCCCCCACCTCTCCGTGTCATTGCTCTAACGTGCGGCGTATCGCCGGAGGGATCGTGAGAGAGGTGTCGCGGCAGCTCGAGCAGGCCCGTCATCCAGCAGTGGATCGACCGCGTTCGATTAAAGAGTCCGTATCGTTGGAACGACGACCGACCCTTATGCGTCAAGACCCTATTGACCAGCACTGCACCTGTCATTCGTTACTGGTTTATTACAATTGTTTAGCAGAGGATGTGCAAACGATGTCACTGATGACTGCCCAATATAAAGCGCTTGCGCTGGCGGATCAAGTAAACTACTCCACTCAGCTACCCCAACACAGCCACACGTACTCTGGTGGAGCGAGTGGACTGCTCCACTCAGCTACCCCAACACAACCACGTGCACTGGTGGAGCAAGCGGGTTCCTGCACTTGGCTGCCACCCCTGAAAGAAGATGAAAACCTCACTGGGTCTCAAGAATTGTTTTTGTACGTGGGGTGGAGGGAGGCCCTGCTCCGTTTTCACAGTAGATGGGGGGGAGGGCTGTGTTGTTACCTGTAATCCCAATTGAGTCATTTGTAGGTTATCTTTCACCATTTGAATTTGTTTTGGGTTAGGGTTGTCAATGACACTGTATTTGTTTATTTATTTATCTCTGGTCGGAAACCGGAGAACCCAGTAGGAAACCCATCCCGAACAGGAGGAGAACATGACGATCTTGCCGGGAGGCACGAGTGTTACCGCTGAGCTCGGCTGCCACTCCGTATATGTGCGTGCGTGTGCACGTCAGGCAACCCATGGCACCTGGGTCTGTCCCGTGACCTCCTGCCAGCGGGCGTTCGACACTTCACGTGGCCTTAACGTGCGCATAGCCTGGCGCAAGCGCCGTGGTGACGTCAGCGCCACCTTGGTGGCGAATGGCAGTCGTTGTTTTGTGCGCGTGTAACCTCTCTCGGCTTTCCTCTGACCGCCAACATCCTGAGTGAATCCCAAGGATGCCCGGCGCTTGTTGAAACGTTACAAAATGTTCTCGGGGCAAACCTCGAGCTTATCGACGGGGCCCCCCTTTCCCCGTCGCTGAAACTCGATCGGCACATTCGTGTCTCTCCCGTATCGTCCTGCGTGGCGAACACGTTGAGTGAGGGGCACGCGCAGATAGAGTTACCGCGTGGCTTTGCGGGCCTCCCCTTGTGTGCTTGTGTGGCCTCCCCCAATGTGCTTTCGGGGCGGTTCTGTGCCGCTCTGTGTCGTTCGGCGCGGAGTCCTGCTTTGGGAGCCTCTTCAGGGACCGATGAATGCGCGCGCGTAACGCTCAAAGCTCCCCCCCCCCCCCCCCCCCCCAAAATCTCTCCCACAAGATATCAGGAATCTCTGAGTCTGTGGACATGTTTTTAAAAGGAGTCTTAAAACCCATTTATACGTTTCCGCTTGTTAAACTTTTAGGTCGTTTAGTAAATGGGTTATAATATAATTATTTTTAATGCTGAATGTCTGATGCTGCTGCTGCTGTCTTGTACAGCGCTTTGAGATCCTTGATGAAAAGCGCTATTTAAATGTAATTATTGCAATATATAGCCTTTGACACACAATTTCTGCTCGCAAGTAGCACCTTTATGAAGGCCGGCACGGCACACGAGGGGGGTGGGTGGCCAGCATCACGCCTGGGCGCCTTTGTATCCCCCAGTGGCGATGTTTACACACCACACAAGGTACTCATTTTAGGCTAAGTTGACCTCGGTGATGCCCAGAACCGGTTTGGATAATCTTCTCTGGCGGTGGCCGTGTGCGGGAATTGAACTCGGGTCGCCGGGTTTGCGGAGCAGTGCGCTAACTGCTGGGCCACCGCTCCCCACAAGCACATGCAAGCACATGTGTGTCCTCTTACAGGGTGGTGGTTAAACCGCTTGGGCTGTGTCTCTTTGTTTACACACAGCACCGGGTGTGCTCATTTCAAGCTGAGTAGACCTCGGAGAAGCCCAGGATCGGTTCAGATGTTGGCCGTGAGCGAGAATCGAACGCGGACCGTCAGGTTCGCAGTAGCGCAGCGCGCCGATCACTGCCACCGCTCGCCACATAACACACAAACGTCAAAGACACATAAACGTGTTCGGGCACAACCCGCAAAACGCCATCGGAGACGCATACGACACGGCATCCCACGCACCAGTGGTGTCATCTCTGTGGTCTCCACCTCCTCCTCCTCCTTGTGCACACGAATGGGCAATGGGAGCGAAACGTCGGCCATCGTACCAACGATGCACTGTACAACCCGTAAACACATGGGAGGGCTACGATCAGATGGTGCGGTCGTTAATAGCGGATTGCCTTGACGCTGTTCACTTATCCGACCTTACTCAGTTATCTGACCCTGTTAAGTTATCCGACATTGCGCATTTATCCGAACACGTTCACTTATCCGACTATGCGCACTTATCCGGCATTCTTTAAGTGGCATCTAAGCAACAGTTTGTATAGATGATGTCACAGTTGAACGTTAAGGTCCTTCAACCAATCCAAGGCGGCAGTAGACGCTGTACGGATTGCAGCGATACCGCCAGGACGTGCGTGGCTGGCTCGCTCGTCGTTGATGTCTTTGATGCTTTGGGCTTCACCACACTTGCAGATTGATGAATATTTTTTTTTCCACTTGTGGAACAACGTGCACGCACATCTCCCGTGCTGGTCCACAGCCATCGTAAGAGAGCGAGAGAGAATTGCGGCACTTTCACGGCGCGGTCCTCAACCACGTTTTTGTTTTCCACATTTGTAGCCGCCCCCACCACCCTTCAGACCGTCGAGTGGCCGGTGTCTTTTGTTTAGTTGCCACAGCGGTAGAGGCGCGTATCCAGTAGGGCTTCCTGGATTTAAGCCTCGGGCGTGGGATGGGAGGGGGGTTCCTTTATGTCTTGGTGGAGCGGCAGGGCAAAGTTTTCCACGATCTTCGTCGGATGTTGGCTGGAGCCGACGTTCGCCAGCACGCGAAGCCACGGGGACTGGAAGTGGACTTTGAAGGGTGCCGCTGACGATACGAAGTGCGGTGTTGATTTGAACGTCGACGAGGTTTGTGCAAGGGCTTGGAACTCCACACTGGAGCACAGTAGGACTCCGCTGTAGAGTGGACCAAGGTCTGCGTTGATGTTTTCAACGTGCGGTCCAGTGTCGCTTCCCCCGCTTGGTTCCTGGATAGCGTCCACTCGTGCTTTTGTTATAAATTTTGGCTTGTTCGAGGTGTTGGTGCCGGGAGTTAAG